GCGGGTACCTGGCCCTTCTGCGAGTACTCGGTGGCCAGGTAGACGCAGTAGAAAGCCGCCCCCAGCAGTGCCACCACCAGCAGGTTGAGGGCCCCGCGCAGGCCGTACAGGGCGAGTCGCTGGCCCGGGCTGCGCTGGGCCATGAGCCGCCGTAAGGTCTGTTCCTCCAGGTCCATCTGGGAGAGACGCACATCAGTGCAGCCCCCCACACCCCTTCCCAGCCCCCACAACCAGCCCCAGCCCCACCCTTTCCCCACAGCCAGCCCCATCCCTACCCCCCCACAGCCAGCCCCCTCTCCACCCCCAGCCGTGCCTCTCACGCCACACACCTGCCCCCTTCCCCCCAATCCACTCATCAGCCCGTATCCAGTCCCCCGGCCCCCACACCAGATCCCTCCCCACCAGCCCCCCATCTCAGTCCCTAGTCACACACTCCAGCCCCCCAGCCCCAGCCCACCCGTAATGCAGGGTCCCTCCAGCCCTGCGCCCCCTGCAGGCCTCACCCGCAGCTCGTAGCGGAGGCTGTTGTGTTTTATGTGCACCGCGGTGCCGGGCCCCAGGCAGAAGTCCCAGCCGGCAAAGACCTTGTTGCTGTAGGTGCTGAGCGCCCCGTTCTCACTGACCAGGCTGCGCTTCAGGAGATGGACGGCCCTGGGGGGAGAGCGCAGGGTGACGGCCCCCAGGAGATGGCGAAATGCAGCCAGCTCGGGGGTGGGGCACGGGGGCTGGGTATACGGGGACCCCAGCCCGGCACCAGGACGCGGCCCCTCTGGGGCAGGGCAGGGTGGGGGCTGGGTATCCGGGAACCCCTGGCCCCTCTGGGGCAGGGCAAGGCAGGGGCTGGGTATCCGGGGACCCCTGGCCCCTCTGGGGCAGGGCAAGGCGGGGGCTGGGTATCCGGGAACCCCTGGCCCCTCTGGGGCGGGGCGGGGCGGGGGCTGGGTATCCGGGGACCCCTGGCCCCTCTGGGGCAGGGCGGGGCTGGCCCTGTGGGGGTACCTGGGAAGTGACTCACCGGTGGACGATCCAGAGGAGGCAGACGGAGAAGTAGCCCAACATGCTCAGCAGATAGGCCAGGGGGATGTTATAGGAGAAGCCCACGAAATCCACGGCCGAGTTTTGGTAATAACCGTAGAACAGGTAGGTGAGCTCCATGAACCCCTGAGACAGACACAGCCTAAGCGAGGGGCCGTCACCTCCAGGGGCGACCGGCTCCTATCCAGCCCCAGGGCGGGGACTGGGAATGGGACAAACTGATCTGGGGAATTGGGGCCAGCTCCGATTTGTGGGGGACACATGAAGGGGAGCTGGGGGCAGAGCTGAGGTGTGGGGTCTGGGGTGGAGCTGAAGGTGTGGGGGGCAGAGCTG